TCTTCCGCTCGTCACGGGCAGTAATCTTTCATGGGTGTCCTCAGTCGGTGTTATATCTCGAGACATCAGGGCTCTCCAGGAATTTTTGAATGGACCTAGGGGATCTCCCTATTTGCCTGGAGATGGCTCGAGTACGGAGCCCACTTTCATGATGAGCCTTCTCATCAGAGGAAAGCAGATGACCACGAGCCATGTTGACAGTCAGGTTTAGAAATGCCTTTGCTACACACGCTTACCTTTACAGTATCTTCAAACACGAAATTTCCTCTCTTTCGTTAATAATTGATCACTTTCTCGGAGTGACCTTATAAATATGAAACGGTGCGAAAACCGATAAACTGTTCTAAAAAAGTTCAGAAAAATGCAGCTGTGGCTAAAAAACGGAAACCTAGGTTATTCGTGCTGGGGAATCCGTTCATGATGCTAGAAAAAATCCTTAATGATAGCTTTTCTTGAAAGTGCAAAATTTGAGGGTGACCTTATAATTATGAAACGCACTGTAGAAGGCGCCAGTGGACTGCGCATTGAAAATAGCGTGAACGGTAGCCAAAAAAGAGAGCCACATGTTGAACATACTGAAAAGTGTGGGGAAGTGTTATATGAGCTGTCCACGGTTGAACTGCTGCAGTGATGGATGGTGTGTTGGATAGTCATGTAGAATTCGGGTTAGAACAACTAGGCTGGATTGATAGTCTTCGATCCTCGAGGGGTCCTGGCTTTTGCATTTTATGCTACTACCTCCGAATTGGCTCCATATTGCAGCAGGGCCAAAGCAATGAGCCAGGGGGTGGAGGGGGACTACTAGGCTGGCTTGGCCGGCCACCTAGTCGGCCACTGTCCATATGAAATTTCCCACTTTTCAACATGTTTCAACACTTGGCTCTCTTTTTTGGCTACCGTTCACGTTATTTTCAATGCGCAGTCCACTGGCGCCTCCTACTGTGTGCGGTCAGTCGACGCCATGAATGGAACACACGACGCTTAGTGGCTTGAAACGACAATTTAAGACAAATCATTTTCATTCCTCTTTTGGCATTCAGAAGGCCATTTAGCGGAAATGGACCATGGTTCTGTACTCAGTGCTCATGCCCCTACACCATGCAAAAAACCATTTTCAAAAAGCGTCCTACGCCCTGAAATATCTTCCTTGTTAGTGCGCTGTCGCTCCACTGGCAGCACCTCCCCTTGTCCCAAATCTTCTAAATAGGCCGGTAAATACGACGTATAATTATCATAGTGATGAGCGGCTGATATGTCATGAGTTGGTTTTAACTCGCTAATTTAAAGTAAGGTCTTGAAAGAAGAAATCGTATTCAATAAAAGACAAAAAACGATCCGTCGAAAAGTTTCCTTTGCTTAGTTCTCAGCCCTTATTACATTTCTGCACTGATCATTGTCCCTTTCCCCTTTTCCGGAAACCTGTCGAAAACACAATCGAATTTATGCAGATCGTTTCATTCCTGTTAATCCTCTGTGTATTTTAATGCGAGAGTGGGCACCAGTCCTGTGACTCCTACATATCGAATGACTTTTGGGTTTTCACATTTTCGCGTTTTCAGTGGTCCACAAAAGTAGTCTTGTTTTCGAATGTGGGACACTATCTGCTTGAGGACCGAAGCTACTACTAGCTAGCTACTCTATCTCTTAGATCTGCCAACTCCTTTTCGCTTCATGTTCTCCACCTCCCTCTTCGTTTCTCCTTGTTTTTTTTTCAATTTTTTTACCTGTAAAGTCTCTATTCGCATGGGTCACTAGAGCTGCACTTTTTCGGAATAAAATGATGAAAAGGCCCGATCGCTGTCGGAGTATGTAGTAGTAGAATCCGGCCACATTTTTTCAGATTCCTTCTCAAATACATGTTGTTGCTCGCCTTTTCATTTCGGATCATGGAACTTCTTAAAGTGTGCATTTGGTTAATGTACTGGCGTAGATCTCATGTATAAATTAGGGTCTTCATTTTTGAGAGCAAGATTGTACTCTTCTGAATAATCTAAGAATCTGTGAAACGACCAAAGAAACATGAGGCTATGTGGGTGTTCGTGAACACTGTTTCACTTTACGTATATCAAACTCTTTCCTCTATGCTGATTTCCATACTCCCGCCTCTATATTCCGGTACGTAGAATAATTGCTAATGCTTCGAAGAACTTCACGGCTTTATTGAATTTTCTAGCACGATGACGGTAACCTATACGTTCAACGTGGCCACTTCAAAATTTCTTACTTTTCATCGACTGCTTTTCAGGTGGAAGGTAAGATATAATCACGTTCGATGTAGGTAAGCTAAATGAATTTCTGAAAGATGGGAACTATTTTCGAATTGAGCCTAGCCAGGCTTTCCCTCACAAGATTTCAATATGAATAGAAGTATGTACATCGCAGGCAAGAAAAAACTGATTCCGAGTTCGAAACAAGGTACGCTTGGAGAAAACAGCAAAGTAACTTTTCACTGCTCAGCAGCACTTAAAAATACATCCTTTCATTTCCTAATTACGCTGAACATGCAAGCACTGTTTACGATTACAATGTTTGGTCAACCCCATGGAACCAATAGAAGCGACGAAGCCATATACAAGCCAAGACTATGCACGTTTAATACTTACCTATCATAATAGAGCGGCTTTTAGCTAACTCCTGCTCTGGCTGAGCTTTGATAAGTGAGATTAGTATGAATAGTATGAGAATTTTTTCTAGGGGTCTGTTTGGAAAGCAGTCTGGATGGAATTGTTGATTTGGTGCGTACTTTATGCTTGTCTGAGTATCATGTATCGACTAATTCTGGTCAAGCATCATAAGGAGTGAGTTTTATTTTACTGTATAGTTTGATGACACCTTTTGTCTTCGCCGTTGACCTAATCCTCTGTGACATGATGCATCATTAATCGACCATCATTTAAAAGCACAGTTCACGATATTTTTGAGGTACCCGTTTTTATTCGAAACGCGGAAGTATAGAGTGGGAATAGTTCTTCGGTAGTAAAGAAAGCGAGAGATTTCGCCGATATCAGAAAAATAAGACTCCTTAAAGGTAGAGAAAATAGAGGGTGGAGGAGATCACCATGACGGAAATAACAGGGAAGGGGTATCCGGGCGAGATTTTTGTTATCGCAGCTGAGCAAAGAGCTGACCACATCAGGTCAGAACTGTGCAGAACTGCCCTTCGCTGCTGCTATGGGTCATGACAAGTTGTTTGAAACTCCTACACGAGATCCTTTGTGATCTGTACAGCCTCTCAAATGCCGGTGAAACTCGTCCGAGGATACACAATGACCAATCTTTGAGCTTTTACAACTCCCTTACTAGACCGTTTTCCGACCCTAGTGCCAGATATGGTATACGCGGAGGCCTCAAATTCATCCAATGGGAAAATCCCAGTAACCACTTTTATCGTGAACTGTGCCTTTAAATTGTTGAAAGAAACGGCAAACTGTTGAGCCATTCGCACTAGTAGATTCCTTGTGAATATTCAAGCCTGAAAGGGGGAGAGGCTTGACTAGCTCAGGTTTGATTCGGTAGCAGGTGTCCCAGATAAATTATACGAAAATCTGAGATACAACTCATAAGATTCGCTGTAAACAATAGCAGACACCACGCGAATCCAACTAAGCCACAAAAAACCCTATGGATAGAAGTACGTTTATAATCTGAGGCACAACTTAAGACGAATAAATTTGTAAGCTTGTTGAGGAAATTTCACTTTTAAGAATATTCGAGAATATATGCATCTTCTTCAACGAGCACTCATCTTTTATTCCTGTCACCTTTATGCTCGGTTTCTACGTATCGGCAGTTTTCAACCGTTGGCGACAGGTTTTTGACAATATTGGATGGATTGATCAGTATGCCATCGTACCATAATTTTTTTATATGACCTAGACATCTGTTCGTATAGCTGGTTTATGAAGATCCTTTTCTAGTCATATATTTCTTTCAAGCAGTCTGCGAGCTTTCAGGTTTTAGCCACTCCCACGAAGATTAATCACCTCTTCTTCTGAGCACTTGCGCTCGTGCACCAAGTTTCTACCTTTTACATTCAGCGCGATTAGTTGCAGCTATACAGAAAGAATAGATGTGTAGGGCTCAAAAAGGATTTCAATTCATGCGTTTCTCATGAACCTAAATGGCAATGGCCATCCACAAAACGGCGCTTGCCATTTTGTGTTCAGAAGGATTTCTGGTCGTTTGATGAAAAGTAGAAAATCGAGACTATGTTCAGGCCTTCATTGCAAATCACTCAATCGATCCGCGGTGAGGATGAGAGATCCAAAATGATACGACGCAACTGTATCCGATATTTGGTTCTTATGGAGGCCCTTGTATTCCGCGACATTTCTACATTAGTCCGCCGTCGGTTCCCAACGATGAATCATCTAGTCACGTCAGGCAGGTGTCAAGAAGTTTATAACCCAGAAACATCCAGTATATTCCGAACCACAGAGAGGGACCTAATATATTGCGAACTACATGATTTGCTACATTTAGAGGTCATCCATAAATGGCAATAGCTTTCAATCAGTGTTCCCCGTTGGAGTTGCTCCGAAGTGTGTTGCCACTAGGTGNGAGTCTGAAAATGTTCCATGTGAGGGTCGAGTGAGTGTAAAGCGCCGATGGAGTCGTGCCATCCCGAGCGCACTTTTCAGTAATAGTCAGGTGATAAGTGGCATACCCGAAGGCTATTTATTGAGAAGTGAGTTGAAGCTGCCAAGCCTCATCATTGACTTGATGGCCCTTCGAACAAACTAGGTCATCAAGACTTATGTAACATTTGATTCGTTTTCCATTTTAGGTCTAATGACGGCTCGTGAGTTTGAGGAATTCGAGAAGGTCTCAACCCCTCATGCGAAATACTGGCTTCCAATTCAGTGGCTTCTTTCTCTCGTCACTCTTGCATGGGATGAAAAAAAAATCAAAGGGGAAGTCATCTACGTCTCGTTGGTGGATGTGAGTGGCTTCGCCAGAATTGCTTAAAATACGCATTGGAGGTCAGTCCACAGAGAGTTATGAAGAGGGCCAGTTTCCAAACAATAATAATTCAAAGTAGCCGAGTTTTCCAGCGTTGTGTGGGAGGGATTCCATCTCGGCCAATCAAGTAACATTATCTGGGGAACAAGGATTCTTTTACCTTTCTGCTTTTAGATCTTTTGAATTGCTATATTTGAAGAATTTGACTATACACTTTTTCGCTAACACTTGAAGAAAGAACCATCAGCGAGTAACGATACACCACCGCTTACAGGCCTACTGCCCCTGCTTTCACTGCCGAAACAGCGGCTCAGCTGTTTCTCCTGTAACACAAACGTAGTTCTCTTCGCTCTAGATCTACATCGTTTAAGTTTCGAAAGGGGGCATAGGATAGGCTCTGAGCACTGATCAAAGGTCACGGGAAGTAACTGATGAGAGCTGGTGGAGGCTATGGAAGGCAGAAGGCACTGCCTTTGTTATTCCCCTCACGGTGAGTGACGTGGAATAAGGAGTTACTATAATTAGTCGATGACTAGAACTGAGCATCGGGTCTCGTAGATAGTCAAAACAACTGAAAACACTTGTAAAGACTGACAAGGTCAATAGTCAAAACAGCTGAAAACACTTGTAAAGACTGACAAGGGCGATTTGAAGGCGAGTGTAAGTGGAGCTGTTAGCTGTGCACATTAACAAAGCAGTTTTGGCACGTTGGTGTATTGCGTGAGGGACATTGGGACTTGTGTTATTGTAGACTGTTGCTGACAGAAAACGGCATTGTGGTAATATGCGCTGATAAAGGCCAACATCTCCACTACAGGGCAAAAGACTCTGCCTTTTATCCATCACGAGTATACTCAGTGCCCCAAGTGCAAGAAGCTCATGAAAAAACTAGCCTGACACACCGTACTGTGCTTTTGAAGCAACGTGCACATTAGGTTTAGCTCGGAAGCACTTTTGGGGGAGCATCTAGCAACCGGACTCATAGAACACAGGCGAGACAAAAGCATAAGTAAGCGCTATCCAAAGCAGCGTATGCTTGTGAATGTTACTCTATGAGTCTTGCAAATATAGCAATATTTAAAACCTTGAGTAGGGTGATGATCGCCTTTGATCCCCAGTGCATCACTCCAGAAGTAGCGAATCTTTCTTACCAGGGTCCTTCTACAAAATGCCGGTCTCGCAACCTACTAATCGGCAATGATGGCTCAAAAACACTGTCATGCGTCCGATGGAAACACCTTTGTTTGTAGACAAGATCCTCAAATGGAGTGTATCCTAGATAGTTTTCAAAGGCTGCTACAAGGAGATACCGCGTCGCAAACGCAAGGTGGTGCTTATCTGTGGCAGATAGATGTGAATCGACTCAATGGATGAATACCGGCGCAGGAGAAAGTTCTCTACGCCATTGCAAACTTTGCTCTGCAACGACTTGAATCTTCCCTTAGTACCTTTTCTATGATAATAACAGTCGTTTGATTTCGTTTGATCTCCGCAACAGTTCCTTTTGCCCTCCAACATAATGGCGAAAAGGTTATGTTTTTGGTTCAATCTGGCAGCTTTGCTTAACTGCAAAAGATTCTCCGAGACGCTGAGCTGCGATGTTTGCCTCATCTGCGGTCGGCATCATTATCATTCGAGCATGTTCCTTAGGAACTGTGGCTGATGCTGCAACGTTTTAGGGCAAGAAACGACTTGTAGATCGATGGCAATGAGCTTCACTGCAGGTTGTTTAATTTGAGTTAGTAGTAGGGAAAGGTGGTGTCATAAAAGGTGCTGTTTTGACCAAAAGAATGCGTTGCACTCTGAGTTGAAATATCGACATCTTACACATCCAAAAAATTGATCTCCTCTTCAGGGACCAGCTGCTGGGGGGGAAGCGAGATTTTTTTCTGCTTAGGGTTGTTGGCAGTGTGAAATGTAGCTGTCACTTAAATGAAGATAAATTGTAGGTACAAGTGGTTTGTTCAGTAAGCTAACTGGCCCTCCAACCGCTTTCACAGCCTAAAAAACGATGTCACGAGGACATTAACTAGATCCGAGGGCAAATTTTATAAGTGGGTGTCTTATACCGTGGTGAGAACATGCAGTTGCAAGCTTAAGCGAGTAGCCTTTCTCTAATAAGAACAGAGAGAAACCAACGCAACCATTTTGTTAAAATTGGTGAAGAAGTTCAGTTTTTTTTCTGGAAGGAGAGGCTGAAGAGAGTTGTGAAGAAACTTTATCAAGTTCTGTAAATGACCTTAGGTTGCTTCGAACAGAGAAAGAGGACTGGAAAAACGAGAAAAGAAAAATTATTAGAGTGCGACATCGCATGATGGAGTCAATCAAATCCTTTATTAAGAAAATTGCTGTATTTCGAGCGAAGCTCATCAACATGTTCCTTTTCGACTGGGTGCCAGTACCGCTTGTATACACCCAGGTTAGTCCGACTCTGCTGGAAATTCCTGTTATAAGAAGATATTTATTGCACTGCTAAGAAATGTTACCTGTCACACGCAGGAACAATGATTTGTTGTTTTCGCATTTATTTATTATAGATTGCATTTAGATCATTTAGATCGCATTTATGTATAGAATGCACTCGCTTTCATTGTGTGCGACAAAAAACACCGACAGAGTGTTACCAATGACTGATTGATGAGTAGTAAAGTGCATCAGCCAAAATTTAAATGCTCGTCGGTATTACAGGTAGTCCATCTTACAGTCTACAGCTACTTCGTAATAGCATTGTTTTCTCGTCAGTATCTCGATAGAGATCCAGTCAAGAAGTCGGTGAGCTCCTTTTCAGGCATTCTTTGGTACTCTCATGAAGGAGTTTTCTTTTATTTCAGATAGATCTGTATATACCCATCATGACTATGCTGCAATTCACGTTCTTCATTGGATGGGTAAAGGTGAGAGATCGCAACGGGATTCTGTAGTTACTACAAATCATTAGGAGGAGATGGATCGTGCCAAAAGGCCGCGCACTTGGTGCGGGTATCAAATCCAGACTACTCATTCAGAACAACTAGGTCTTCCATATCTGCGAGGTCCGTTATATGTAGGTGCCAGACTTGCTTCAGAAATTCAGAAAATTGATTTGTACACCTGCTATCCATGGAAGTCGATCTAGGAACAAAACTCATTCGCCGCTCTTATTCCTATGGCTGCTTTCATAGTCCGCCGGCCGGCCGGCCTAGGGGGAGGAGGGAGACAGACGGGCTGTCAAGCCCCTTCGAAGGGATGAAAACAGAAGAACATTATCAAAAGCCAAACAACCAGGGGCTCGTACAAATGGTTTTCGATCTTGTCTCTACTTGTTTACAGCCCTTTGAGGGGCTGACCGACCGTCTGCCGCCCTCCTCCCCCCTAGCACTGCCTCGTGGCACGCCGCTAGGCCCCCGGCAGACTATGAAAGTAGCCTATGAGTCGAATACATGGACGCGCACTAACA